GGTTGCGCCCCATCCGTCCACGGGCATTCACAACTACAACTGTCGATCACCCTTGATTTGCGGTATTGCAGAGGGTAGCGTTTAGCGTTCCAGGAGACCGGTGGGAAGCGAAAGGGTTTTTGGAAAAGGGTGTCCCGGATCTGAAATGTAAATGTGTAAATTGATTGTTGCAGTACAGTATAGTTGAAATAACAATAAATGACGCTAAAATATTGTTCGGAAAATAACACCAGTGTTATATTATTATTTTGCAATTGATGTGTCTACGCCAACTAAACAACCTTTTTGAAGAGTCAGTCTAAACTTTCTTATAATATGATCGTTGGTAACTCTAAACTCCTGAACTTTTGGTAAATTTGCTGCGGATTTAACGTCCCTTTACCTAAATAATTAAACTTATCAATAACTTTTACCATCATATCAATTCTATTCCATCAAGACTGGTCGAATCTTAGCAGTGTTACAATGTACCTCACTTACTGTACCTTCTCTTCAACTGTTTCAAAATAAGAAATAAAGTTATCGATGGTGGAAATCAAAATATGAATAAATGTTTACACCTTACAAACGAGTAGGTAATAAAGTTATTGGACCCTCTCCAGACTCAGACCATAGTTACAAGTAAATAACTGTACATAGGATTTTGCATCATAAAACTATAAATTTTATACTCTTGAACGAGATATATTACGATATGAAATATTGACTATCAAGCAAATAAATTTAAATGTAAAAAATATACGTCGGTGACATTTCCAGTGGATATTTTCTCCAAGTATGCAGTCGCAAACGAATTCGACCTTTACGGAATGCTTGTTGATTTATTGGGTGGAATCCTGTGGAAAGAATTCATAAAAATATCACCTGAAATTCTATACTTCAAATTCATTTTTGGAATGCCCCGCGACGACCGAGTACATAAACCAGTTGGTTTACGGTGGGAATGGTTTTGGAACGGTTTTGGGAATGGTTTTGGAACGAAGATTTGGAACATTCTGTAATTTCAACCCTTCCAAATTTGTTGACTTGTATCATCTTGTATACATTATGGAATTGTTTATACTTACTATTGAATTATAATAGGATAATAAATTTGAGGGAAAATCACAAGTTTTTCCTTGTATTGAGACGAAATATATTCTTGTTTAATCGTAGATAAAACTGATCATTTATGTAAAAAACCTTCTATGAAATTAAAAGTTAGGTTCGTTCTCCTACAAAGGAGTTTCTATTGCAGTATCTTGCAAAATAAAAATTAAATTATTTCCGGAGTTTATCTGGTTAATCAAACTACAGCAATTTAACCTTTTGCTCAATCAACGCGTGATGTGGCAAAAACTTTTGACTGCCAATCAGTTTACAGTTTACAATGTGTCATGAAACATTTCAGTTGTATAACGGCCGTTTCTCTTTTTCGAAACGGGTGCAGAAAAGTAGTCAGACATTCAACATCTACATTCGACAGGCACCAGTTTCAACATCCAACATTCGACATCAGTAACACAACATCTGCATCGGAAATGTCCTCAGACTCGACTGGAAACATCGTTTTTCAATCTCAAGATAAATCTGAAACTGACCAGGATAAAACCACTTTGCAAATCAAAGAGCTCTAAAATAAAGCACTATAATTTACGATCGGCATTTGCTCCCGAACGTCCGCGCTATCAAAGCTGAAAACATTGTCGGACCTTTCTGCCTGTTGTAAATTCCAAGACAGCAAATAAAAGTCGGTGGCAGAGCGTGGTGTCTTCGCCAACAAATATTTGGGCATCGAAAAGTCCAGTGGGCGTTGCGCTGCCGAAATGTCGCAACCTGTTTTAAATGTCTCTTTCCTTTTAGGGGTCCATACATTCCCCATGGGAACATACCCGATAAGATGTGCGATAAGATCTATGCAAATAACAAATGTGTTGAAAACCCTTGTGGAGGCTTAGAATTTTATCGCTGTTGGACCTTCAGATATCATATTCTGCTTGAACGTTTATGTTTCCTTCATGATTTGAGTATGTCAAATATAAATGTGCATGTAGGTCATCTAACTCCAGTAATAAGAAATGGCTGGTATAATTTTTTGAGTGAAATCACTTAAAATTAGCAGTCTTTAAAATTAAAGTCTACCTTTTTTGATGGCAAATAGCTGAGTTCAAAATCTACCTTGTTTAGATTCTAATCAGCAACCTTCAGCTGTGAAGGCGTTGGAACCAATCATCCGATCAGCTGCTGTGATCAGCAACTTCTCTCAAATCTTCCACATTCCTCTTATGTAGTAAACTTTAACATTACAAAACACTTTTTCTCCAACAGATCTTCCGTAAAAGTCAACATCGAAAACCTACCTGTGCCAAGTTCTTATGAAAGTCAATACACTTTTTACTGGAAAGTTAATTAAACGTCGCCTAGTATAGCTGTTGTTGAGTCAGTCGCAGGCTTTCCATCTTGACCACATCCACAATCTTGGACTGGACTGGGCGTCTACGTTGAATAACCATGAGATGTCTCATTGTCGGTAAAGGAAATTGGGTCAAACTCGCGGCTTTTCGGTCCCAATTACACGAGGTTTATGGAAATACGAGCCACAAGGACGATTTGCACCAATTAGTCAAATATCTAAGACTCATTTACAAGCTGACTCTCGCCTCAAGGGCCCTCGCAGCTCACCTCTCGTTACAACAATTAAGGTATAACAATATTCTACGTTCGAGAGGCTTAAGCTTTTTTACTGGGTTTTATAAAGAGGTTGTTTTAATACTGCTATTGATTCTATCAGTTCAAAGAAGATATATTATATTGGTTAGCAGCTTAAGTTTTCAATTGTTTAAATTTTACAAACAGTTTTCTACTCTGCCGTTTCTGATTCTGATATAATATTAGACGAAGGTCATCCTATCCTATCAGAACCATCCAATTTCACCATACTTCGATTATTTAAACCTGTTAGTTTATTTTGTAATCAGTCATACAAAATTACATCAATATGTCGTCTATACGTTCTGGAAAGCATATAGGCCTATATTTAATCGTTAACAGACTAAATTTCTACATATCTTATCAGAATCATGAAATAAAATCTTTCGTTTAGTTGGACCGATGAGAAATTTATTCAAGCTTCTCAAAATTGTACGGTTAATTTTCTACCGTATATACTTGAAAATATTCAGTCAGACCTTTTAAATAAATACATAACTGACAGTATTTTGTTGCATTGGCGAACTGTAAATGTTGCACCATCTGACTGACATTTCAATTTACCGTTTATCTAAACGGATTCCGTTTCGTACATGAACCAGCACGAAGGAACAGCTGTGATTTCTTCCACCTGATCGGCAGATAAACCTTCCTCGCAGAACGTCATATTACACATATGACGTTGTATAAAAACACAAGACGTAGCTGACAGAGCCAGCGACTTGCCGCGTAAATCTATACAACTATCCCGCATTGGAAGCGGCATTTATATGCGTTTCCCGGAGAGTCGATCGCTGTAATTAGTTGTAAACAAGGCGCATTGATAAACACGATGTGATATATCAATTGCCTGCACTGCGGCGGTTGTCGGGCGCTGCGCACTACATCTCTTGTGCTGCGCATGTCTGCGGCGTCGCTATAAACATTTATTGTTTAATAGCCGATATTCCGCCGACCGACGTAGACCGTGCGTGTTGTCTGTGTCTGCGTGATAAAGTGGTGGGAGAATACTCAAGGTCGCTTCATGGTGAAAAAAGATTAAGTGTTCACATCGTAATGACTTTTTTGAAATATATAATTATATGGGACGTGTATTTTACGAAACCATTAGCGTCGTGCTGATATAGTACTTCAAATGTTGGTTAAATACTGGTCTGTTGTAGTATCTTATCATTGCAGTCGCTAGCGATATGTGATGCTCTGAAGAACAAAACTCCAAATTACAGTTTCAGAAGTTTTTAGAGTAGTGGCTGTACACCTTTTCCCAAAATGGTTCCAACTAGTGGTTTTACGCCCATACGAAATCAGCTATTTACTCAATTTTTTTCTGTACAATATCTTAATTTGACACTATATTACTTTGGCTAATATTTACACGTGTCTAAAACCAATGATTAAACATAGGATCACTTGCAAATCTCCATAGAACGGTGACACCGGTGACTGGAGTGGAGAGGCAGGTCTAGCAGCGTCAGTTCCTGGAAGTACTGCGGAGAATGTCGCATGTAGTAGTCTGGAGATTGCAGCTGTAGTTGGCGGTAGTTGCATAGTTTCCAGGGTCGTGTTGGTCGTGTGTTGACCACACACACGGTACAGAGTCTATCGCCATGCGGTTATGACGGTCGTGCCGCCGTCGACCACTAGATAGCGCTGTGGTCACCCCCGCCACCTACCCACCTACCACACCGTCCACAGCCACTACCAGAACTCGGCCACCCATCACCCACACCCATAGCAACGTACTGTGGACACTTTGGTTATAAACGGGTGGTTATGGATAGATTCCATACAAAAGACACTTTATTTGTACCAGAACGTGCGAATTTTTAGTATTTAATTAACGAGAGACAATGACGGTGAAATACTATTTCTATCGTAAGACGCTCATTTTTACATCCTCCCAAATCCTTGGCTGACTGCGGATTTATGAGGGGTTATGATTTATTGACTACTGAATGAGAAAAATAGACGGAATTCAGATACAGTATTCATAGCTGCTACGCTTGTGGTTATTAGCTAGCCTCACAAGGTCAGAACAATCAGAAGGTCTCCGGTTCGATCATGAGAAAAGTCAAGACATTTTTGATAGTTTGAAACAGATCGTGTTGTTCTTGATCATTGAGCTAACGTAACAGTTAAACTAATTCCGGAACATAGCTATCATCCACTTCAATAGAAAACCCCATAATTGCGTTCCCATCCTAGTTGGAAGTTGGTAATTTAGTCTCAATCTAATCGCAACACACTATTGCCATAGCACTAAGGTGTACTATATCAATTGGGCTTGTCCTAATTATTCACCTCTTTTGCAGGTTGTTCGGCATGAAGCGCTGCGGAAGGTGCCAAGCTGCCATCCTAGCGTCTGAGTTGGTGATGAGAGCGAGAGAGATGGTCTTTCACGTCCACTGCTTCTCCTGCGCCGTCTGTCAGACAGTTCTGGCCAAGGGAGACACCTTCGGTATGCGGGACGGAGCGGTGTTCTGCCGCCTCCACTACCAGGAGCTGCCTCCAGCGCCTCCACCAGACCCCTACCCTGGGGACCTGCACTACCACCCCCGCCTCGGCCCTGGCCCTACGCCGCCTCTGGCCGCCACTCCGCCGCACCCCCACGTCGACCAGCCGCGACCCCCCGCCTTCTTCAACGGCGCACCCACGCCTCGGCAGAAGGGACGGCCCAGGAAGAGGAAACCGAAGGACTTGGAGTCCATGACTGCGAACCTAGGTGAGTCCTGTGAGTATGCCGGATTTTGTTTGACTAATAGTTGTAGTTTAACATTAGTGATGCTATTGATGACTGTATTGCACTGAAGTTAGAATATTATCACCTCACCTGTTGTTTTTATTCGTAAAAGGAAAAGGTTCAAACTGCTGAAAGAGTATTCTGTATACACATCAAGCCGCTGAAACTGTATCCTCTTTTCGATAAACCACTTTCCATTAAAGTGGACAAATTATTAGATTTTGTTCTTCAGTTTCTTACAGTCAATAGCCTATACAATTTTGCATGCTGTTTAACAATCTAAGAATGGATGTACTATTTTACTAACATCTGTGTGGCAATATTTTGTTGTGTCTGTTTGATTGGCAATTTTAGATTCAAAACTCTTGAAGGAAGTTAAAAATGTCCTCGAATAACACACCGAAAGCCCTCACGATAACGGCTTGGTTTATACTATTAGCTGCCATATACAGGATATAACCTACTCAAAGAAATCACAACTTAACCTTTTATATTTCTTCTTAAAATTTTCACAGCATTATCTCGATGCAGGAAATATCTTAATGTTACGGCCCAATGCTATCGGAATGATCAACATTTACCCATGGCCAGATATAGACAGTGAGCAACGACCGGCACAACACATCATCGCGTCGTGAGAACGCCAAAACACCTTCGAAGAGCGAGCGATTTGTCATCGTACGACCTTGATAGGCAATCGTAATCGATTTGGCGGCGAGTGCGCGAGCTGGGCGACTCGTCCGAGCGTAGCGAGCGAGGAAAAACCTACACCGCGGGGCACGCTCCAGCACCCTGGGTAGACAAAGACATTGAGGTTGATAGGGCAGTGACGGTTGTTCACGTTGATATATCATTGGCAGTTCTTTACGTTGGTAGTAACTTACTCTCGTAAACAGTTTTGTTTGCTGGCAGTAGTTTACATTGACATACTATCTAGCTGGCAGTAACTCACCCTTAGAGCACATTGTGTTCACGTTCACATGAAAATGATATAATAATGGCAGTTTTCACGCTGGCAGTACATCAAACCATTGTTTTATCTATGATCAAACGTATAGCTGAATACTTTGACAGTAGATTAAGCTGACGGTAACAGACCTTGACGTACGGTACAACTTTCTTTCCTTTTTTTGCTCTAACATTGCAGTGACAGTACAATGCTCTCATAATAGTTTACAATGTAGTAACAATATATGAGGTGACAAAAAAAGAATTCGTCAAAACCCATAATGAGTATTAACTTTCTCCAACAACAGATGGACAATACTTTACACTGAGTAATTTTATTTTCCAATCACTTTGCGTATCATTCTAACCAATTTATTCGCTGGACCAATAAATTATTACACAGTCCACCAAAACAAAAACGTTAAACCCCATTTCACCATCACATATATTTATCACAATCGCAAACAAATGTTGAATGGCCAAAATACTCACGAAGGAGATCTCAAGTGGACGATAATGTGCGAGTTTATGGGAGCGGAACAAAAGATGTCATAAAGTGACGGCTGGCTTTACTGGGGCTGTTAACCATTAGCACGTTGTGACTGGGACTGTACCAGACTGTACACGGCGGTAAGGTAATACAAACACGATTACCAACTGAACAACAAATAAAAACACTGAAACAGTTGAAAGCAGGGTCTTGAATGGCATCGTTCAGTTTTGCCTCGCTGTTTAAGCTTTTTTTTTTAATAAATACCAAACTACGCGTACCCCCCCCCCCCCCCGTTCCAAGCTCAATCAACATTCATAATGCGAAAAATACATACCCAAAGTACGTCGCTATCCTAGTGATTCAGATGAGAAAATTAGATCATAATTTATCACCAAAATTGATTTCTCCGGTAACATCTCGTTGCACAAATTGTCCCCGCAATAATCCGTCTCAATCGCCGTCCCTCACCGGAACACCCTGTATGACAGTCACGTGACCACCGGAACTGTTTAGACAGTGATGAGGGGAATCACACGGATCATCTGTCCTCAGCAGAGCAAGGAGACTGCTTCCTGTGGGGAGACGTCAGCCGTGGTGACGCGTCCATAGGAAACTCTGCAGAAGATGCGCATTTCTCTGAATGTGCTAAGTAGTTGCCGATGAACTTTGTATGTAGATAATAGTTGACAAAAATGACTATTATTTAGGCTAGTTTAACATAACCTAACCCATCCTAACTTCACATTACCCAACTCCCTCCTCACATAACCTAACTCATCTCAACCTAACGTAACTCAACCTATCTTATTAGCAATAACGTTACCCAACCCATCCAATCCTGTGACATTGTCGTGACGTTTCAGTTGGTAATGATCCCAATGACTATTCGAGGCATTTGGTCCTCTTCAGCACCATGTTCAGTATTTGAAGGAGTTTTAGGGAACGAGACTTTAGGGCTTAGGGCAACTACGACCAACTATAACGGAGCTTTGTGTATTAACCATGCAGTAAAAAAGTGCTCACTTGGTTTTATTTATGTACTGTACTAGAATTTTTATCAGAAGCTAAATAGTTGTAATTAGAGTTTAATAAGATTCCGATGCAGTTGCTTCCAAAACCCACAAATATATTTCAAACGTACAAATATTTAGGTTTATGACATAACACGAATTTTAATATCTACACTTATTGCTTAACAGTCTGTACTACTTGATAAGAATACTGTAAAGTCCCCTTTTAAAATCCTCAAACTAACACTTTTCCCAAACCACTTTTCTGCTACAGTAAAGTACGCAGACATTAATCACCTCAGGCAACCCTGACACTTGGTATCGGTCGACACACTTTTCCCACTTTTCCTTGTCATGTCACATACGTCACTACGTCAACTTCACGGTTTATCACGTAGCACGTAGCGTAGTTACGTTGCGTACCTCAGTAGTACCTCACGCCACACAACTCTTCCTCGGCTTTCTCCGCGAGTTCGTCCACCAATTACAGCAGTTCGTCACTCTCTTCGGACGAACGACTTCCCGATATGGTGTCCAGTAAGTTTTAATTGATCCTGCTCCATCTCGCACGAGCCGGTAGTAAAAGTTATAAGTAATTGTTATGTTGTCTGTTCTATTGGTGTGGGCACGTGATTGTTTGGTTAGGTTAGGTTAAATAAAGTTTCAATTACTCTTAAACTTGTTTGTTTGGTTTGGTTAGTTTCTTTTTCAGCCGTTAAAATATACTGCATCCCCTTTATCAGATTACAAATTAGGATGGAAGGATGGTAAAAAACACATTTTTGGAATGTTTCTTCTGTGGAAGATACAGTACTTGACGTGTAAAACGTAAAACCAAAACGTCATTGTTTGGTTAGGTTAGGTTTGGTAAGTCATCGATTATCTACATAATTGATTTATCGTTTTGTATAGTTCAGAGCAATGGAGGGTTTTGTGGTTTGAGTGCGTTGCCAACTTATCGTGTATCGTCTCAGTTTTGAGTGCGGGATCGACTATTCTCAACAACACTTTGCGAGGTTTTAAAAATAATCTTTCTACCAAATTGTCTATGCATATCTACTCCAACTCAAAGGATTCGAAAACGATAAACCGGACGTTTCAAAAAATTGTTTTGCACTAAACAAGATTAAATCGCCAATTTGCATTGAATTATTGAAATACTGCCACCTTTACCCACATTAGGTACAAACAAAGGTATATATTAATTATAAAATTCGAGTGTTTATTTCACAAACTAAAAAACTCGGTAACTCTGTGCGCAGCGTAAACATTTACATGATTCAAATAATTACACGTCCAAACCAAATTTAAAATTAATTATTTTGAAACCTCGCTCTAATATTTAACCCCTTGGTGATGTTTTATTCATACGTTCATACATTTATTAAACTCCTAAACTCTCTAGTTTACGATCAATGCTGGCCTCGTTGGCACATTATTAAACCACTCAAAATATCGTAAAGCGTCCGGTTGACACTTACAAGATTATTACCGTTCCGGACCGTAAATAAACGTTCGATTAGGTGCGGACTGCGGACTGCGGACTGCGGATAGCGGAGTGCGGACAGCGGACGGTCAGCTCCAGCTGTATCTCTGTGTCTGGTTTGTGGTCGTAATACATTTCAGGAGTCAGCTCCAGGCGATGCGTTCGTTGTTTTTCACTGAGGTACGGTCTACGTTGGTTGCCGGGTTTAAAGAGGCACGAATTCGATTCGATTCGGTCGTTTATCGTACCTTTTTTTAGCCGGGTTACACGAGTACGTCACAGTAAAAAATTACTTCCCGTCGAACCGATGTATTGTTTATTTATTCATCCCCCGGGCTTACACCGATTGGTTTTGCTTCTCTTGAGTTTAGTTTTATTCTGACGGGGAATGTTGGTGTTGGGTGTTTATTTGTTAGTTTATAAAATATTTCAATTAAAAGTTAGATGATTAAGTAGGAACCACACTAAATAATTGTTGCTTAGTGAGAATTGCTTATTGATGCGAAATCAAGAATTTATCATTTAAAAAAATAATGTAATAATAGTACACAGAATTTCAAGTGATAACACATGAAACATATATTTACACCTTAACTGTTTGAGTCACAAGACGGTAAATACATATAAAATATTATAAGTGTTGATCGATTTCGTTTGGACACTCCCATCATCATCAGGCCCATTAGACAGTCTGGTGATGATGATAATAAAGATGGTGGATGATCAATAAGATTCGCCTATTGGGTCTGATATTGATTGGATACCCCAATCGAAATCGATCACCACTTACCATCTTTTGTTTTAACCATTTAACAAGTCAGCAGTATAAGTGTAAATAAATGTTTCAAGTGTTATTAGTCATATTTTTATATACTATCTTCAACATTTATACAAAACCGAGAGCAATAACGATGTTTGAGGTAATTGTAACAGACGCATTATTACTTTTTTAAACAATCCTTTAAGCAGGAGCCAATGCAGGACAGGCCGCTGTTATCAGTTCCTAGGCTGTTGTAAGTCGGATGACTCCTTAGTCACGTGATTATAACGTCCTTGGCTGAGTCACTAATAACAATACTGTCAGTCACCGCCAAGGTCACTTATATATCCCTCCTCTGTGTACGCTGACCACAGAAATATTTATAAATATTGCTGGGTAACTAACTAGGAGGTTAAAGAACTCGCCTAAAATACATGAAATATCACCAGGTCGATTTTGTGAACAGTCTGTAACTATTTCCTGTTTAGATTACTGCTATTGATTGTTTTGACATTGCTAAAAAAATATTAAAATGATAAGGAACCTGTTTTTTTTTAATTTTTGGGAATATTTGTACCTTTTGAAAACAGCAGTGAGATTCTAAGTAGGATCTTTTTTAATAACTCACAAATTATTTATAAGGAGGATTATTGATTTCTTAGCTCATGCTTGAACTACAAAATCGTGTTTTATTTTACTGTTTATATTTTTATAAATAACCGGGTCTATGTTACTAGACATAGCTGTCACATGTCTTATCAGAATTATCTGATGAATTGTTCATAACCGACCTTACAATCAAACCCACAAATTATATAGCTCTTTATTAGGCTTATTGAAATTATTATTTTAAAAAGTGGTTTTAAATTGAAAATTTTGTTATTTTTGAAACCAAGCTCCACAGAGTATCCACACTTCTTTTTTCACTCATATTTACCTTACAACAACCACCCAAGTCTTTACTTTTGATTGATTGATTGAATATAGGCTACTCATTGTACTGAGAAAAAAATTCAAATTCTCATTCTAAAAACTAATAGAACAACACTCGAATATTATATCGTCCGATTTCCGTTCACACATGGATTCCTTCCAGCCAGTTTGATATATATTTTTCACCCGCACCGGCTGTTGATATATAGTCTGAGAGCCAATATTTCGCGTTCGGCCGACCTGTCGTTGTGTTATTGCTTATAATCCTGCGGCTATTTAAAGAAGATGTGATTTACTGACTATAAAGGTCTGTCTGTGTCTGATATACAGCGTGTGTAGACAATAACATAACCTGCCATGTGTGGGCGCGCTTTACACACCAACATACACACGTCATATAAGCTATTTACATATGTTTGCACTCATGTAAAAAAGGTTATATATGATGGTCATATTAAAATTGTCTGGGTAGCCGAATGGTTGGAGTTGGAGGCGATTACTCCTGAAGGTTGCCGGTCCAATCCCAAACGGTGTAGAATTTGAACTTAGCTATAGTCGTTGGAATTCAATTGAGGATGATTTCTAATAAGAGTTCGACGTTAGTAACAAGACGAATTTATTAAACAGTTTTTGATATATCATTCGATTTCGATCATTGGTTTTCTTATTGACCTCGTCATATATCGTAATTAATGGTCGATCAGCTGTCATCATACCGGTGCCACGTTCTTGTGAGTTAGGTCTACATGAAAAGAGAGAGAAAGAGTGAGATTCGTTATCAGCTGCCAGACATCCTGCGAGGGTCACCTTATCAACTGATAACCCGTTCACATCACAACGTTACGAAACACTCCCCCCCCCCCTAAACTATCCATTCAAATAATGCTGAAAATTTGATGGATAAAAATATTTTGATTTTGCAATTAAAATCAGATTAGATCTAAATCATTTCCACAATAACTATTCAAACAAAATACAAACTTTTCAAAAATAAAATTCAACGATAGTAGTCATCCAAACTATCTAATCTAAATCTATATTATAGAATTGTTTATGAAAATTAATTTATGTTTATGTCAATGAATAATCTGTTTAGTTCTACCTCTGAAGGTTTCGATGTTGTCAATTGACTGTGCTGTACTTGAGCTGAGCGCTGTTGGTAAACAACAGTAGGTAATATTGCAACAATGCAAACATTTAATCTAATTGTAATTCTTTGAATAAAAGTGTGGGTAATTCAACCCCCCCCCCACCCCCAAAAATAGATGGCCCTATTTTACAGTGTTGTATGAATGAAAATAATTTATAAATAAAAAACTTTTTTAAACAAAACGTTTTTAAACGCCCTAAAAAGTAGAAAATAATTTACAAATAATTTATAAATATATTGGGAGAGTATAAATACTTGTACGATTTAAAACGAAAAACGTGGGGTGCATGCAATAGATAGTTTACAATTACCTTCACCTACTGAACTAATGTATTATTATCAATTAATTGCATGCACCCAACGTTTTTCGTTTTAAATCGTACAAGTACTTATACTCTCTCAACATATTTATAAATTATTTGTAAATTATTTTCTACTTTTTAGGGCGTTTAAAAACGTTTTGTTTAAAAAAGTTTTTTATTTATAAATTATTTTATACTTTTTAGTTTTAATGTGTGTGCATGTTAAATCTATTTCAAGCATCTATATCAGATTAAGACAGAGGCATGTGGGAAATCTAAGGTTTATTTGAGTTTCTTTGCATATAATTATGTATTGGATTGCATGTATGGCCTACCTACTAACTATAAATATATCAATCTATTTAATCGCAATGTTTCTGAAATATAGTACTTCTCTGCAATGCATTCACTCGAAATATTTATTGTTTACTTTATAGAATACTAAATAAACAAAAATTGACATTATTTACAAACACCTTGATACCTGCAATCAGATTGTTTATCTTTATTTTGACATGTTTGTTTGTATAAAGAATCTCTTGGGAGCATAACCTGTACCTCTTAACCTCTGCTCTTCGAACTGTCAAAATTTAAGTATTTACAGCTGACTTAAATTAGTTGATATATTTACATCCTTTCAAAATGTAAACATGAAAAATTTGGAAGCCCATGGGGCATAGCCCAAGGGAAATATGAAAATTAAATGATATAATATTGCATTGTCATGCATTTGTGAGCTATGTTTCAAATTTCAAGTCTCTAGCTTATAGGGAACATCGTTTAAAATTGATATCAAAATTTGTAGGAAAGCGAGCTAATAAAAACAAGCCCATGGGGCGTAGCCCGAAAGGAAATATGAAAATTAAATGATATAATATTGCAATGTCATCCATTTGTGAGCTATGTTTCAAATTTCAAGTCTCTAGCTCATCAGGAAGTATCAAAATTTGCAAGAAATCGATTTAATAAAAACAAGCCCATGGGGCGTAGCCCAAGGGAAATATGAAAATTAAATTGTATAATATTGCATTGTCTTCCATTTGTGAGATATGTTTCAAGTTTCAAGTCCCTAGCTCATCGGGAAGTTAGTATAAAATCGGTTGCAAAATTTGTAGCGGACAAGAAAGCGACCTAATAAAAACGTTTTAATAAAAAGGAATGACATTATTAAACATATGAATGGGAAAATGTGTTGCGATCGTGTAACTTGTTTAATACTTGACTGTAAACCAAAACCAGGACGAACCCGTTGCCTAGTCGATTGTTCGATTGTTTGTCAAATCGCATCGAATGATAATCTCTATCGATGCTTGTGAGTCTACAACAGATACTCCAACTGTTTATCCCTACTATGCTTCATGTTACGACAAACGTTAATCAGATCAGTGTTTGATATTGTGAAACATCGGCGTTATAAGGGGGTGAGGGGGGGATATTCAGGGGGTGCGGTAGCAGGCAAGTACACTTGATTAGGCTACCTGGGGATTACTTTGGTAATCCGCGCAAGGGTGTCTAAAAACACAATCAGATTACAGCGCAATCACTTCCATGTCAGATTTGGGTAAATTAATTGGCTACTGTCAGTACAAGCCGCTTACGCCTTGATTGGCCCGCTGTACGCTATACAGGGTGTGTCAACAACCAATCCCCGTCTGAGCTGGTTTTGATTGATTATTTTCATAAAACTTAGATCAATTGTTGTGGATGATTTAACATTGATAGTGTCTTGCTACAGGTTTTTAGCTAGTTTTAGTACTGTACTGTAGTCTGTAGCATACTAACACGATTACTTTGAGTTTTATAATAATTTAAAATAAATGTATAAAAAATGTAACAGTGTTATGAGTTATACTGTATTTTATTTTAATAGTAAAAATATTGGGGTATTTTTAGGTTACCGTATACTGTATACCAGTTACCGTTTTAGTTTACCGTATACTGATGGTATTTTTTAAATATTTTAATAGTTTTTTTCGTTACAAATCTGTAATTTCGCCATACTTTGGTAAATGTGAATAGGTATGTATCAGGGTAAATTCCCTACCTTTGTGATGACGTTGTTCTTCTGGATCACGATAAGAAAAATAAATCTTACAATTCCTGTTTCCCTCTAATAATCCTGTGTTGTATATCGACGCTCTTGCCCTAAGAAGATCCATACAAAAAATCTAAAAAAAACTCAATAGTTTCTTCAACGCAACAATTTAAGTCTTTTCACAACTTTTGACTTTCCGAAATCTTCATCTACTTCTTTTTTTCAGACTTGAACGCAGAAGCCTACCTCGACGTGGCATTCGGCCCAGGGACTCCGGGGATGGGCGCCAACGGAAGTCACCACCAGAGGACAAAGAGGATGAGGACGTCCTTCAAACACCATCAGCTGAGGACGATGAAGTCATACTTCGCCATCAACCACAACCCCGACGCCAAGGACCTGAAGCAGCTCTCGCAGAAGACGGGTTTGCCTAAGAGGGTACTACAGGTGAGTTCTGGCTTCATTCTCTATTTTCGGTCCACCTAGGTTCACAAAAATCCTATGTTGTGTGTTCTAAGACTAATAAAAAGATTTTAAAATCTGTTAAGCATAGGAAACCATGAATAGGGTCATGAAAAGTGACTGAAAATATTGCCTCAGACGTGGCGATGCAACTTTTGAGATATGCCAAAAGGAGTAGAAAAAAGCACTAATAGGAAAATATTTAAAAATTGATAACTTAGCGATGCATTTAGCCGATCTTAAGTTTTCAAATGAATTTGAGTGGAAACTATACCTTCTTAATTTTGGAGGCACAACAGTTAAAGATGCCAATCTCGTATGACAAAGTTTTACTAACAGTCGTGATCCGGCGCATTGTGCCCATGATTTGAAGAGCGACGAGTCCTTGAGAAACTGTCTCTGGATCTTTTGCTGCCAGGAACGTAAAAAGGAATTTCAGCTGAGGTAGGCCTAGTATAAGTCGAAGCAGGAACACTAAGTCAGTCTTGCTTCTCACACCTAAGGAAGCCTCATAACAGAAGCCAAGCCATCAACATCATATTTTCAGAAGTGACGGATGCTGATAAAGTGAACAATGCGAAACTAGGGGGATTAAAGTCTTTCCTGAAGAAAATTCTGGTGCTCGTGAGTTTGCTTTGCAATATTTCTGTGTTGTTTGTGGAAAATTTACTGAGCCACCAGTAGTCCCGACACCTTCCGTCTACCGCCTCCAAGGTCAGGGAAAGTAGAAGTTTACTTCCCCATCTTCGCCGTGTTCCTTGACGTCCATCAGGATGTTTACTTATAATCGATTATTTACATCGCGTAGGTTTGTTTTGTTTAGATAACTTTCCTAAATAAATAAACTGTCGGGATTTTCGTCTTTGCATAACCGGTGGTGATGTCTTCAACGCCGATAGCCATTATAGCTTTCACCTGTTCCTAATAAGTATACCTCCAACTATTCATATACAGAAAATTAGTTCATTGTCGGTGTGTTTATGATGAAATAGATCTGTACAGGTACCGACGGATTTGGTTTTTTATCTATTCAAATTTAAAATGAAATAAACTACAACACTTATTTCAATTCATTCAAAGGAGTTGCTTTTCATCATTATAATTTATCATTACTTAGCTGCATTGAGACAGTGACGTATTTCAATTTTCAACCAGATACGTGAAAAAGGAGAGTAGGCTAATGGAGTGAGGTAAATTGTGTAGCCTATATAGTTACTATTTAAATTTTTTTAGGCAATAACACTTATTAAAAGCTTTAAAATCAAAAATTTTTCCTTCGCCATACATGACTAAATGCTTGAACGTTTTAAAACTCTTTCTAAGCGGGGTCCATTATTTTTCAAATGGGGTCTCACAGACCGGGGGTTTCGGTTAACGTCAGCCTATGTGGGGTTTCGGTATTAACTGAGTTATCAAACACGATAAATCTTCCCTCACTGCAGAGCAGTAGCAGTCTTCACCACTTGAGTCGGAGCCGCCATCATCCTGCCATCGCGACAACCGTCCTCCATTGATCTGGCCCTCGGAGAATGCGGATGGTCGCTTGTATTATGGAGGGAATGTCGTGTATCCTCCGGGAAAAAAAGGAAATCGCCGGGAGAAAAACGAGGAGCTAGCGTTTGTGCGCTCCAGATCTCCGTGGCGTTTTTCTGTCGTCTCAAAGCACATAATTAATATTTCAACGGCCGGTGCTCCATTTGTCGTCCGCCATCACAGAGGTGCGCGCCGCGTTCCCGCTTTTTCTTCGTATTTTTATTTCTTAACGACTCGTCAAGAATTAATTTCACCGGCGCGGAACGAAACCTTTTCCTTTGCCCTTTGTTTACCTTCTTATCCTAGACTATTAAATTCTGCCGGGCTGATGGAGTTTCGCGAGCTCCTATCGACCTGTTGTCTACGTCGTACTTGCATTGTGCTGTACTGAATAGACGGATCTTTGATGGTGTAAACACTCTTGTGTAATGGAAATACAGTGCATGGGATTGTAGTTGAACAATGATCCTGGCCAACAAAAACTTATCTTAGTCAATAGTAAAGGTACACAAGGAATTTAACACACCTAACTCAACCTGCATTCATATTCAGATTCAGTTTAAAATATACTCTTTTAGTGAAAAGCTTCTAATGAAGTCTTTAAAGCGTATATGATATAGATTCTTTACAACATTACTGGCATGTACTCAGAGTATATCGTTGTATAGCTTTGATATACTGTATGGCCTATTTAGAAATTGATGATATACCTGTTTGTAGACTAATAGTGATATAGATAATAGGATATGGTTATTTAAAACAGCTTATACTACAAATTTAAGGAATTCAGATGTTTTGTCTATTTAAAAATATTTAGGGCTTCAGTTAAATACTAGTTTTGTTTTCAAAATGTGTCATTAGCGGCAACGGCCCTGAACAAAAAATACTGTTAGAAGTTTTTTGATGAGATAGTAGTAGCATAATCGTTTTCAAAGTTTTACTGAACAATAGATTTATTAAAAACCAGAGCCAAGACTATATTTGAACATTTACAAATTTGCAGTAGATTAAAACAAAAAACAAACCAAACGCAGTGTTCCACATTTCCAACACCACCTGTTCCCAGGTCCTGCAGATGTCATCAATAAAGGCGACAAATTATCCGAACAGACCGATTCTGGGAAGAACAAATAATTGAATTTTATTTCGGAGCGCGTAAAAACAAAAGAGGAATTCCAGTATGGCCAACTGCGAGTTTTTGCGCAATCACCTGTTGAAGGTGGCTAACCTGTAACTGCATCAGCTGTTCCAATGGCGGACGAGCGCGCATCTTGCAATTGAATAATACATTAGGACTTACGTCCAGTAAAAAGACCGTTATATTTGTCACCGCCGGTTTTATAGAGCTGCTTGAAACAACTAATTGGAGATTGAGATATTTGATACATTGTAAGCAAAAATGTGTGACGAAGTGGGACGGGTTTTTATTTTGAGTGTTTGAAATGGTGAAAAGTAAATGTTGGATTTTAAACTTGAATTCAGTATTCTTCAAACAAAATTATTGGACATTGCTTTGTTCTGTGATGGCTTAAATGTAGGCCTATCTTTTACTTTTCACGACTGAAGCAAATATACACATTTTTTACACGCAATGTAAAGTAGAATACATCCTGATAGCGTTGATGTATTGATGATCAAAACCCAGCTTTTCGTGATCATTTTTCAAATGGTTCTGCCTAGGATAAGCTGATCTTAGTCAGTTTCAAAACTTTCATCTAATTCAATCAACATACATACTGTACTTCACTCATTTTCACCGTAAAGTACTTAGCCTTATAATGTCGGTGTTATTTAAATCAAGTGTAACCCATTGGGTTTCGCCATATAGATTAAGTATACCGCCATGGTTATTCTCTTTTTAGTACCACGTTTCAGAAAAAAATATGATAACGATGTTTGGTTTTATCTTGGCTGTCACTACCAACCTCTGTCTCCCGCCTTCTAGCGGAGTTAAATTCGCTTTAAATTTATCGCTGTCGTTTATTTATAATAGTACCAAATCTGTAGACTGACTGCAAAAATCAAAATAATGTTTGGCAACTACTCGTAACCACTGAGCTAGTGGTGGAACGTTAATGAAACTTAATTTCTGGTTCATGTAATTCAAGAGCTTGGAGCGAATGTTATAGGATTGATGCAAAGAACTTCCGAGTATTACTTACATGTAGTTGTACGAGTATCATTATTTTAACATGCTGAAGTAGACATCCCAGTTTTTAGAACCAGCCATTTCACCACCAGGCGAGTTTTCGTTTTAAAACAATTATAGTAAAATGAGCCTCCTATATGGAAGACAGCACTACTGAAATTCGACTTTTGATACTACGATCGGAGTATGATATAAAACGGTATTATACTGCGGTACAGTGTCCAACGGTTGCTTAATTTTCCTTTTAAGTTTAAAACTGGTGAAAATTTTAACAACACGATGGAAAGTTCACTTTACGATAGGTGTATGTGTAGCGATGTATGGTATAGAAATGCAATTTTGATTTTACCACTAGGATATTGTTCCCTAGAACTTCATCCTTGCTTGTAATTAGAATGTCCAAGCCACGCTTGAGAATAGCTATGTCTCACCCTTCAAAACTATCTCTGTTCGTAGCAATTGTTGAAGATTAAGATTTAGAAAAATATTCATTAAAGAATATTTTCATGAACATTATTATTATTATTATTGTTACTGTGAGATAGCAACGGACACCAACTTGGGTATTTTAAACTGAACTAGATGACCCGTGCTGCTCCGCAGCATCGAAATTAATAATAAAAAAATAAAATACTAAACTTAATAAGGGCGGTACAATTTTAATTAAACTCTTATAGGGCTGCTGGATTAATTTCGCCTTATGACCAAATTAAAGTATAACACATTCCATATAACACAGAGAAAATCGTCCCGATGTATTTTATTCCGTTTTGAAAATCAATTAATCCAGAACAATATCCACACACTTCCTAAAAGCACCTACAGAGAAAGCACGTACATTTGTTAACTCATATGTAACACAGCGTGAATGAGGCTTTATTAAGAATGTTTTATTAACAACAATATTTCTTGTAAAATAGACATCTCTGTCGGTAGAATTGCATGTACGCATATTCTCAGGTGTAGTTCCCTCCATCTGGTAATCTTTATTAATATTACGACTTTTATAATACTTCCTTCCGAACAATGTTTGCTGTTCGTCCACCTTTTGATTTAGTTTCTACTTTTACAGTATAGAAAGATTTTCCTCTCGATAAGGCGACGTACAACTGACCGTGACTAAATACTGGTTCAGGCAAGTACACACCAACTCGATCAATCGTTTGGCCCTGCGCCTTGTTGATGGTCATGCAGAACGCAACCTTTATGGGGAATTGTCTTCGTTTGAAAGAAAATGGTACTGTAGAATCTGATGGAGAGAGATCAATGCGGGGTAATAGTGCACGTGGTCCAATATTTGTGC